GCAGGAATGGAGAAAAGGGGCTCCCGGGGGTGCACTCTCTCTGGAGCATGTACACACCCACTGGCAATGAAAGGAGTGGGGAGATGCTGTGCTTCCAGCACTTTTAGGACCTTCGCTTAAAGCTGACAAATTCTTGTACGAGACGTCACTTCACGCAAAGCACTGCTGGTGAAACCAGTGGGCAGGACCTCTCCGAAGGAGTTAAAAATGTCTGGAGCAGAAATGGGCACATGACACACACACAGGCACTGGCGCGATGAACTGAGGCAGCGCTGATCCTGCAGGGACGTGAACCAGGAAGGCCTGCAGGCTGGGGAGACGGGGACGAGCCAGGAAATCTCCAGCCGTCCCCTGGGAGCGCGTGTCCACACGTGTGCTTCCAGGTCTCACCGTGTGAGGATTCGCCACACGGTGAACAGACGACAGCGCACGACAGTCGCTTTTCTAGGGTATATGATCCATGACGCTGCCCACTTAGGAGGGACGGGCTTCATCTGCTTTCTTCACTGATCAATATCCTGCACCTAGAAAAGTGCCTGATGGGCGGGAAGCGCCCAGTATCTAATAAGTAAAATCCATTCAATGTAAGACGCACGCATGTCACGTGCGCAGGCTTTAAGGGTCTTCTTTGGTGACAGCGTTCTCCAGGTGGTCTAATTTTCCTTATTCAGATAAAAGTGGTCGAATGCCTCCCCATAGGACTACAGGACTTTTTCGTCAAAGTCAGATCCAATTTGACTCCTATGCTAGGGCACTGGTTACCCAAAGAAGCTCGAGAAAGACGTGCCATCCTAAAGCTGCCGTGAACACGGGCTGAAGATGCTGGCGAGGCTGTGCTGTGTGTACTGAGTCTTGGGGCTGGGGGAGTGACACGGAAACATCACACCAGAGCTAATCCACCCACAGTCCTCTGTTCCACAACACGCTTCTAGATTAGCCACCTAGCTATTAATGGAACGATTTTAAATTGCCTCTCAGGGGACAGGGCACTTAGAGTAAAAACAATCTGCAGTCACATGCAGGGCCATTAAATTTCATATGAGGAGATATTTCCATTCAAAACCAAATTGAGTCTACTGGTTTGACTGTATTAATCACATTTCTCCAGTTCCTTTTCAGAGAAAAACATCAGAGCCACTATTACGAAGCTGAAATTACCACTTCATGCCGGTATTAACGGCAGGTTTATCTACACCCGAGTGCTCCTCAGAGACCTCCCATGGAGCGGAAAACAAGCCCTCGGCGTCACGCGTGCCCAGCTCCCGGATGTCACTGCACTGACCCAACGTCCATGTGTCAGGGTCAGTGCTGATACGAATTCCCTCCTGTCTCCACAGCCGTAGCACGGGTTCAATTTCAGCCAGCCCTTTAAATATATTAATTCACTTCTGAACTTCTGGGTTTTACAACTTAAGGGGACCATACTTTTAACCACGGATGGACGATTACTGCCCTGTGCAACGGTCAGGCTTTCTGCATTGCTGTCACACTGCCACGTCCGAACCTTCAGTCCAAACTGCTACTGCTTGTTTAACGACTTTTTAGGCAACCTACGAGTTTCATTTTAAAAACTGATCAAGGTTTTTCTGTTTAGAAGTTCTATTATTTGTTAATGACCTTCCAATTTAATTTATAAAAATTTCTTAAAGGCAAGATCAAAAAGGAGAAAACTGAGAAGTGATTCATGAGCTTGCTAGAAAGGCCTGACATGTGGATGCTCCCGACAACTTCAGTGAGAACATACGGATCGCTCTGGGATCAGCAGACGGCATAATGGTTACGTCACTGGACTCCCACATAGTCGCCCACTGTTCAAGTCCTGCATCCGGCGGCTTAAAACTCAAGCCGGGCTTAAGTGCATGCACACCCGAGAACCTGAGAGGAGAATGAGGAGAAGATTGTGGGGGGCCATGCTCCCAGAGGGAAGATTTCTCGCCTTCTGTTTCTGTCTCTGTGAAGAGTGTATGCGCCCTATAGCTTTGCTCTCAAAACAAACAAAGAACCAAAAATCCGACAACAAACAGAAAAACAAACAAACAAAACCCACATGACCATATGGACCAATATAAAGGAAACACTTGGCCCTCCAAAATACCAAGGACTTGTGCCACCTACACACCACGGCGGGGGTTCTCCGAAACGCAGCCGGGCATTTGCTTGTTCTGACCTTTCCGGGCAGAAGGGCCGACTTGGGAGCACGTGAAAATGAGCGCCCTGTGCCCGAGACTACCGTCATCTGCTTCTGTGAGTCCAGCCTGCCTTTGCGGTGTTACTGACATAGCTTTAAGTTTTGGAATTAATTTTTTTGAAAGGTTTTTTGCTATAGGGAACATGCACTTTTCCAGAGTCAAAAAGTGAGAAATCACTCTCCAGAGGGATGGCCACATCACAATCCCTTCTCCTCTTGGGATTTTGGGCACACACACACACACACACACACACACACACACACACACGCACGCCTGGCGTGAGTGTCAAGCTGCCGGGTCACCGACTCGAACCTCACTTGACCATGTGGGAGTCCAGTGACATGACCACAACACCATCTGTTGGCTACAACGTATGCTTAATTCGAAAACTCAAACTCTCACTGTTCTGGTAGTGGACAAGAATGGCGCCGGGTGGGAGCTGCAGGACGAATACTAAAACGTACAGGAGACCTATGAGACACTGAGACACAGCCTCCTCCCCCTTTACCTCTGAAAAGCCATTATGCCACACGAGGCCGGAAAAACGATTTAGGGTTACTGGGGGGGTGGGGTGCTTTTAACACATCAAGTGTGATTGCAACACAGCAAAGTACTGTGAATACTGACGAGGAGCCCAGATGCACTCACTCAGTGTAAATGCCATCGTTTTCTCCACTTACGACGCCATCGTGTATGACAAAGTAACCGATAACAACTGCGTCTGAAATATCACCCTGAGTTTTCAACTAAGGATTTAAAATGTTTAGCAACTGAGCAAATTCTTACTCCATTTGTTAGAACTATATCTACAAACAATAAATAACTCTGAACAAAAAAGGGCTTATACATGGGAAACTTAAAGTAGTATTTACATTAGCAGAAATAGAAGTATATAATCTATCCAAGCACATGCAATTCCTACAAAATATTCTTTAATAAATTCA